TCGAGATTTTGACTAGTCATTGCCTGTTTCCATCTATAGTAATAATATGCTTTTTGGATAACAGATAAATATAATAACATTCGACACCGCCAGACACCTTTTGCTGGAGGTGCTGCTGTTATTGTTGTTGTAGCGAGTTTTTGGAGCTCATTTTGGAGATCGGCTAAGGAATCAAGGAAATCCAAATTTTTTTACAATCGGTGCCTTAAATTCCATAACCGTACTTTTACTTAATTTATTCAAGAAATAAAATGCCTCTTCAAAAAACATAATAAATAAATTAAATAAATACAATAAACGCGTTTTCGGACATGCAAATGGATATAACTTCTTAAACTACTAAAATCTTTTTTGGAAAAGTTTAATGATTCGACCAATTCTCAACCGACATATTTTCTAATTTTTTTCATAACAGATGTAAACATGAAAGGATACTTTACGACGCGTAATTATGATTGGGCATATATGATCCTATATCCCTGAAAAATATAGTTTTCTCAGTTATAGTCAAGCGGCATTTCAGCTATCTTTTTCGTTGAAATATTATAAGTAAGGATCCCAGGGCATAAAAGTATTAAAATTAAAGAACTTGCCGACCTTCTAGAAAAAGAAGTTGCGACAACTAAGACAATAGGACCGGTGTGGTTTTTATAGCGGTTATCCATCCCTGTTAGGGTGGCAAGGCTCAAATTAGTTGTTATCGAAATCATCTAACCGGAGAGCCAGGAAACGTGTTGTTTCGACGGGGTCGGAACGTAAGGAGAGAGTTGAAGATAAGTGGAATTCATTAGGCATGCAAAGATATGGTTGGACAGGCAGGACATATATAATATTTGGTATGCCAACGTCGGTTCTGAATAGGTAGAAGTTTAACCTGCTACAATATCTAAAACTTAGTTGCACAATGGTCACTCTAGTTTCGGGTGGTGGTTTTACTCCAAGTACGCCGATCACTGCGATGGAGTCGGATGCCATTCACTGGAAGGGAGTCGGTGAAAGTGTTATTGGCGTCTGTGCGTGTCTGAAGTTAGTTGCGTCCGTAGACTAGTCGGCGTATTGTTCTCAGTTGTCGACGTAATCAAGGAATAAAATCTTGATGCTTCTAGGAGGCGGCTCGGCGACACACAGATGATTGCAGGCATAATGTATAATAGGACCGGAGTCTTTCTTTGCAGTAGGCCCTACACACCACAAATGAATACAGGGTTTGTAAAAATCGTTACTAACAGAAAAATGCCCGGATTTCGCTAAGCCAAGATGTTCTGCAACTAATTGCAATTCTTCCCAAGAAATATTCTCATACAAAACTGTATTGCCATAATGTTTATAAATAGATAGCCTATAACGACGAACCACCTAGTTGTAGCCAAAAACTCAATCAAAATTAGGAAGAAAGATTAATTCTGCTAAAACCATAGTCGATTATACCTGAAAGTTTGGAGAATATCTTATGCCGCGACAGCAGCCACATTTAATTACAACGAAGTTTATTAACAACTTCCGCCAGATAATCGCAAAACTTTAATCCCCAACGAAAATGTCTTCAAATTTACTGACACATTTCAAATTACAGCTTAACTTCCACCAAGACAAATATATGTAGGTATATGTATTTGTATGTATGTATACAGCGAGCAAATCACCTTTGCTAATTAGTTACTAAGCGAGTCTTGTTGCTGTTGCTATTTGATTTCTGCTTGCAATCAGACGAAACTTCGACAAGTCAGTGCTTTGCTGCTGTTTGACATTTCACAAGCAAAGTTCATTTCCCCATCATCTCGTTTGTGGTTTATTTGAAACGTCCATTTCGGAGGAATAGCGAGAAAAATGCAAACAAAAACAAAAACGAATGTATATGAGAAAATATTAAATTATGTATCTCATAAAGCGGATGTGTATGTATCCATCTTTAACCATTATCCCCGCAAACACGGCGCACGTCAGCTTTTTGCGCTGCAAAGTGCTAGGGCATGGCCAATTTCTAAGAGAAAGAGTAGAAAACAGAGAACAACAATTAAAATAGCAGCCAGAGTTACCGGCATTTGGCTGTCATTACAATTTTAACGCAACGCAACAAACGAATGCGAAAAATTTACCGACAACACCACAAACAACAGCGGCAGCAACAACATGCAACACAATGACACGGTGAATAAAATGCAAAAATGTCGTGATATGTGTAGATAACTGTGATCTGCAATCTGTCTGGTTGTCTGCTAACAGGAAATGTAGCCAATGGGTTGGCCAAAAATGGTAGTAGATATAGAAATATGCAAATCACGATGCACAAAATATGTTGGCAAATGTTGGTATTCAGTGAGCGTGTTGTCATATGCACAAGAAGTCAATTAGTTTGTGCTACAAGCGGTGCAAACTAAAATTGACAGAATAAGTGGCGATTTTCTAACGACAGCTTTGCGTTTTCCAAAGCATTTTTTCTCACAAACATAACTATTCTATAATTTTATTAATTATTACCTGGTAATATCAAAAAGTTTTGGGGTTTACAAATCTTTTGTTTCTCACAAACATAATTATTGTACCTAAACATCTTTAGAAATTATTACTTAATATAATATAATGTAATCTATAGTTATACGTAGAAATAATAATAAAATTACCATAAACTATAATAAACACACAACCTTTTTGTAACCATTATACTCAAGTTGTTACTAAATGAACTGTAGTTACGATAGACAGTTAAAATATTTTAAATTATTCCAAAATCATTGATTGCTTCCCGCCAGTTTGTTTTATTATAAATTTCGCAATCTACTTTCGCATATATCAATTTATTGCTCCTTCATTTGGCTTTTGAATATTTACAACACGAGCACTTTCTCTTTACGAAAATTGCTAAGCGCAGCAAACATTTCTGGTTTTTATTTATATATTTTGTGCTTTGTTAAATAGCTAAATTTTAACTTTACGACGCTGTAACTAAATCAAAATATTAAAATTTATAAGTAGTCTATACTTAATAAAGAAAGCATATAAATATGCAAAAGGCAAAATAAAGCAGTTTTCAATATATTTATGTTCAATAGTAAAAACACAGTACTATATGTATATGTAAATTTGATTCAAAAGCGTTACCGCAATAATTTCAGATTTACATAAATTCTGCATAAAGATAAATTCCCCAATTTTAAGCCCTAGTTCGAAAGCTAAACTTGTCACATAACAAATTCAACAGAAGAGAGCAGCACGAGCTCGTAACATAAACAACGATTATTTTTACCATTTGTGGTGTACGGCAGTGATATTTACCTTTGTTGACTAATTCACCACACTTCATTCAGCAACATTGCTCAATGCATTTATTTTGAGCTATTTTTTCATATGTGCTACCTGCATTCTTGCCAATAAATGGAAAAATATAGACATCAGCTGCTAAGTGGTGGAATAGGCAAGTGTGTTGGAATTGTATTTTCTTATGTGCTAATCAATTAATTCACCTTCGCTAGCAATGTTTTTTAATTTTATAGTATTTTACACAGCCAATTAAATAAACAAACAAATAAACACAAACAACATTGACGTACCTGGTCGATCAAGCGACTGTCGTCGACTCATTGGCAATTCTTTTTAAATGTTTCGGCGGAAAAATTACGATGACTACGAGTGTGAACTTCGCTGAAGTGTTGTTGTTGCTGTAGTGAGGAGTGTAATATATTTACTTCATTTGAACTAACTTCTTGGTTATAGCTTTCGTTGTTAGGTGTCAAAATTAATTACATACATACATATTCAAGATTTTTACACATTTTCACAATTATTTGCAATGCACTGGGTGTCTATAATAATTTCACGTTTTGTAGCGCCAATAAACGTAAAGCAGGCATGTGATAGCATTTACATATATATAATTAAACCAAAAATGTGCATAAGCAGGGAGGAGGCACACTCACACTTGTGTTGCGTATGGGCAACATGCAATGTTGCTGGAGGAAGGATACAGCGCGCGGAGGGGAAAACATGAAAAAAACACTACGATACCGAAAATCACAGACTTGTTTTTCCTTTAAAGATTGTAGCTTGCAGCACGGCTATGGAAAACGTAAAGGCAAATTCGATATTTTCGGCGGCGTTGAGAAATTATAATTTCGTTTCTTCTTCATTTTTTCAAGTTGTGCTCTATGCGCTTCACATACATTATAAACACTTTAGTAATTCGTATATACACTGCTTTTTATTTGTAGCTAATATTTTCACTTTTTTCTCCTTAATTAAATTGTATGCAGTTGTTGCATCAATTACACAAAACGCGGTATGCAACCTTCGTTTCTTTTCGATGCCGTCGTTTTGTCGTAGACGAACAAAAGAAATTTGTATTTGTGTGGTGGAAATGTCATGTGTAGAAAATTTTGGCAGTCAGTTTCAAGTGAATGGTTAAACTCGCCACACACAACAACAATGTTCAATGTTCACAATGAAAACAAAATTTACTTTGTCTAGTCGTTTTTTATGCATTTACACTTTACATTCGCATTCGTGATTTCTCAACGTGAAATGTTGGTGAAAAATCAAGGCGATGACGGTGATGGCTAGTGCGCATCGTACACTTTCCCGTCTCTTTTATGCATTTATTTCTATGATAGAGAAGAAAACTAAAGCAAACGAGCGCAAATAGTGTATTTTTCTGCAGTTTTACTATTTTCGATGCTAAAGAATTTCACTTTACACGCAGCATACATTATTCGTATGCGGTAAACTTCAAAATCTCTACTTTGGCGCTAAAGTGTTAACGCTTAACGTTTATTTGTTATAACAAAAGATATTTTATAGAAATTTAACACTTGATTTCGCTCTCTACACACTCTTCGAGACTATAGAAACGGACAAGGAACTGCGGTGGGCACTTTTCATTGAAACACTTTTGATTGCATTCGTGTGCTATTTTCGTACACAGTTTATGACACTACGCCAATAATACACATTTAACTAGTGTTTGATGCATTTTTCTAATTAAAAATAGTTTATTAATTCACACAAAATCCTCACTTTCAAGGAACGTCTTTCTAGTCGCCTTTCAACTCCGTGCCGTTGTGGCAGACTTGATGTTGCCACTTTTGACTATCGAATGGTGTGGTGGAAAGGTGGTATTCATTTTTGTACTACACTTATAATAGAAAAATTAAAAAATGTGCTCCGATAAAAAAGTGTTTAAAAACAGCATTTAATCTGAAGTTTTGCGGCTTAATTACAAAAATTATGTTAATAAATTCGGATCTATACAAATTTATCGTGAGTGGCAACGCTGGTGATAAATGTAGTGCGAAAGGCAACAATGTGAAAATGGATGGAGGAAATAAAGACAGATGTTGTCTCTTGTTATGGGTCACATGAATAAGGTTGGCAATAGTGGCTAAATTATGGGGATTCTGAGATATTTTTGAGGAGTGTCTGAAATGTTTTTATTTCAAATCTTTTGATTTTAAAGTTTGGAATATTTTCGGATTGAACCATCAGCGATACTTATATCTTTATTATTAATTTATTTTTTAAGACATAAATTAACGCAGCGAATTTTAGTGACTTTCATTATATATCCATTGTGAATGGGTTTGTTTACATATCTAAAATGACCGGGAATTTTTGCAGCTAACTTCGTGATAAATAAATGCTCAATTAACATAAATTTGTGACTGCTGTTAAACTTTATTTAATAATTGATATTAAAAGTAATGAAAGAAAATATATGGGAAAATGTCTTTTAAATTCATTTCTCTTGGGGAGAACACTCAAGAACGTTTAGATACATTTCCAATTGGGTTGTATATGATGTGCACTTGTTAGGAAAAATGAAAGGTATCATTAACGTTTTTTTAATATTTAATGTACTAGATTACATTATATTAATCATTTCAGAATAACAATGATCAAATATGAAAACTATCCCAATGCAGCAAAGCGGGTTTATGGGAACCTGTGGCAATTGGAAAAAAGAAATTTAGAGAAAAATCCTTGCCCAATAGAATATAAAGAACATTACATGTACATCGAAAAACTACATCAAAAGTAAAATGCCAACCCTAGTATGTCATTAGATAAACTGATATTGTGTTCTTATATTCAAGATATGCAAATTTATTCGTTTCGGCTCTTAAATAGGTTTTTTTTTAGAAATATTAAAAAATATTAAAATTAAGAATCAGCAATGGTTATGTAAGAGTTATGAAAAACAAAACAAGATTCTTCACAAAGAGTATAAGGAATAGCGATAAAAATATTGGATTCCACACTAGTTTTAGGATTTCACAAATAGTCCACGTATCAAAACTGTTTTTTGCGTTAATTGTGGAAACAAAAATTGTCTCCGACGGAAGGTAAGACTAATGAACGCAATAAAATATAACTTTCCTATATAGATGCATACATATGTACATATCTATGATAATCTAATGGATTGCAGGTTTAATCAAACTTCTGATTCTCTAATGAATTCAATATTTAAATGATTAATTAATAACAAAATCTCAATAGACTGGTATATATCCCCATGAATGAGCATATGCATTGGTGTGCATTCCAGCTAAGTCTTGTATTACTTTTTTTCCAACTTCCTTTTAATGTTTGCCTTGCAAATATAATCACGTGAATTACAACAAAATTTGAAATAGCTTTGCGCATACTTTTATGTGCTGTACGATAAATTAGATTAGATGAAAAGAAAAGTTTATTGCCACTTTACATAATGCTGCTGGATTTCGTTGTCTTCTGTGTTAGCCGAATTTGGCAGTCATAATTTCGTTGAGCAATGGCAGCAGTGACAACTTAAAAGCTCAAGTGCATTGTTGCCGCTTACCTTAAAGGATCTGCAGTATTTAAGGTTTGTCCCAATCTAGGTAAGCCGCACTTTTGGTTTTTAATACCTTGTACGGCGACATTTGCATAATAGGCAACAAAATTGCGCTGGCCGCAACATATACACATACTTTGGTTGTAAAATATGTATGCATACCTGTAGGCGCACTTATGCAAATATGCAGGTTTATGTTGCCCCAATGCATATTTACAAATTATGATAGTTGTTACCGGTTCCCGGTGGTATTCAATTTCCGCCTATTCTATTTGCAAAGGCTTGTGTTTGCGCACTCAGCTCATGTCATAACTTTGTTGACATATAGTGGCGTCCCTGGGGCCTTGCTGCGGCAAGTCAACTATTGCAGTATGCATGTATGTATGTACATGCATATTTTTATGTAGTATCATATAAGGTACCACAAAGTAACCGATCACATTTCGCATCACGATCAGCAATTTTTATGTGCCGACAAAAGCAAGAAAATATATTGTCGTGTTGTCGAAGAACTAGGATTTTGAGGGTGATTTAAAGAGGAAAATTATGGAAAGTTAAAAGTGGAAGTAAATTTTTGTATATATTTCGGTGTATACAACTATATATTAGCATTACTTGTATTACTTGTTACCTCAATAAACATTTTATTCACTTTTTTTTTGAAAAGTTTGAACTTCGTACCGAAATACGCCAAGACCAGGTTCCCGTCATAAACTTTATGCACTGAATTATTTTATGAGCATAAACTTCTTCTATGATATTTCATCATATTTCAACGGTATTTTGTCAGGTTTAAGCTGTTAGCGGTAATCTTTAATTATCTCGTTGAAAGTTGTTTAGTTAACTGCACAAACTAAATCATTGTTGCCGGCTGCCTTCACCCACAAGCGAAACCGGAGCGCCATCAAATGTCAATATATGGAAGCAAATACAGTTAAAATAATTAGTTCTTGAAAGCGGTTTATAGTAGCTTAAGTACGATATAACGAATTCCTAGGACACAAATGCCTTTAATGGGAGGCCATCTTATTATAACTGGATTCGGTAAATACACATTGAGGAGACATGACGATAGGGTTGAAGAGAGGTCATGCCTCCGCTGACTCGAAGAAATGCACGAGCAATTTATATTGCACCAAGGAAAAAGTACATGTTATCCGAGGGTTGCGCAAAACGTTAAACAATTGGTCATTACTTGCTTTCGCCGACGAAGAGGTTCAAGGTATCATTAATGAGACCAAATCGTCCAAACTCATCGCTCCAGACGGTATAAGTATGTTGATGCTCAAGCGCCTGAACTCGACGGGAGTAAAGTTCTTCACCATGGTCCTCAAGTTGTCGCTGAACACTCTTCGCATACCCGATATGTGGGAAATCGGAATAGTCGTCCCATTACTGAAACCCGCCAATCTAGGGTATTCTTATCATCTAATAACTCTCCTTTCTCCAGTGGTGAAGCCACTTGAGGTCTTGCTACACCCGACTTTCACGTTTCATGTGAGCCTAGCTACAATACTTGTAGTTACCAATATGGTTTTCATAAAATGCACAGCAATTAGCGTCAAGAATGATTGCACGATATAGACGTCGCAGAAAGAGCCTAAAACTCTCCGCTAAAATTCTGACCCAAACTTCACACACGACCGCGATCATTACCAACGTTCAAATCACAAGTCGGAATATTCTATTTCTTATGGGCTCTCAGCGTTGAAATAACTATGATCTCCCATTAAATGGCATCGATGTCAAGACCTAATCACCACTAAACAGATTCTAAATAAATGCACTTACAAGTGCTACAGACTAAAAGGAGTCTCTGTTCAGGGTATACTAACTTTATTTGGAGTTGAGTCCAAGTGGTATCATGGGGAAAACTGTAAACCCACATATAATTGTCATCGGAGGGGTACGCTAGGCGGACTTAAAATCTAGCCCAGATTATCCGAACACATCGGCGTTTCGAAACTTTCAGCAAACAAAAAAGGCTCTTTTGCCGTGTATGAATACATACTAATACAATACATGCAGCCCGGCAAATCCCCTGGTCGAATTAATCTATCCAATCAGTCTTTTACGTAAGTATCAGAATATCGCCATGATCTGATTCTTTTTGTTTTCTTGTTTCTTATCACCTCTGCTATAAACTGTAAGCAGCAGCTGGTCTGGACATTAATGCCGCTGTCACGAAACGTGTTGTGTCGCACGTTGCACGCGCATCGCTTGCATTCATAACTGACAGCGAAGTTGCGTCTTAAAAGCTGCGATGAAAGGCAAAAGAAATAAAGACGACACTGAGAACATGCCGGTACATCTGTCAGTATGGATTCACATGATCACCATGATCACCATGATCAGCGTCGAGCTAGTGTCGCCACAATAATTCATTAAGGTAAGCGCAAAGAATCCTGCAACACCAAATACAGTAGACAAGCCGTCAAAGTAGAAGCATAAGAGTGGATGAAGAGTAGACAAAACAAAAGCAACAACAGATGAGTGGATGTGCGTATATATGTATTTATGATAGTCGTGTGTCAACTTTGACAAGAAGGCGCGTCGGATTTTGTTGCTCATTTCATATATACTTGTATATATCTACACTGGAATAAGTTTTTTTTTTATTATGGTGAAATGTAGCTACTGCTTATTGCTCCTGTTGTCGGTGCTGGTCGCAGTGATCCTCTTGTTAACACCTGTAATGCCACTAGTGGTACAACTGTCGATATTATTGTTGATTTTTTGTTTGTTGTAACAACTTGCAACAGAGTATGCACTTGTTTCGTACAACTAACGGTTTTTTGTAACCATTTTAAAGTGGAGATAGATAGATAGAAATTATGCTAGTCCATAATAGTTTGCATATTTGCAAAATAGGACGATAACCACGCCTACTACCCACAGAATACTTCCTTGCATTTTATAGTCTTTTGATCTACTATAGATAACTCTAGCATCGACGAAGTTATCGAGATACAGCTTAGCACAAGTAGTGCTCTTAACATGTGGTGTTAACTTCAAATAGTAGAAATCGATCTATTTTATCACTAGTCACCATATATCGAGCATACAAATTTCAGAGCCCGGGTTAAATTTACATGCTGTTGTTGCTGTAGCGGCAAAAATATTCCACAAAATCATTTGGAATAATGCTGCCGAGTTGATATTTCCATGGTAGATGAAAATCCGGTTCCATGGATCCGACTTACTTGGTTTATTGCTGTTGTTGCTGCAACGGCAAAAAACATTTACCAAAGTAATTTAAGAACTGCTGCCGAGATGACAGTACCTTCGCGGATAAAACTCCGGGTTCGGGAAAAAATTTACCTGCTCTTATGTTATAGTGGTTGTTGTGACGACAAAAAACATTTCTCGAAATAATTTTGAGGTCCTTTGCTGCATAAAAATCTGGATCCATTCCGTTTCTATAAACTCAACTTTCGTGGCAATATAAACAAAATTACGTACTGTTATTGTGGTTGTTGTAATGGCAAAAAACTACCTAAACTAATTTTGAATTCTTTTGTTGGATAAAAATTTTGTTGTCTGTGATTGGAATTCATGAAATTTTCGTTTGTATATATCTGTCAGTTTGTGAAATACTTTCAAGAAATTAGGTTGGATCCTGCGGTTTTTTTACTGGATTCGGTCTCTCTGATTGACTTTAGACTGAATATTTCGAATAATAAGCCTATATACTATATCTATATCTATCTATAAAATAAAGTATTTATACATATTTCCCTTCCATAAAATAAGCTGACACCAAAAAAGGACAAAATCGGTTGCTTAGCTCGTCTAGAATTGAATAATGTTTACCGAGGTAAAATTTTTGAAAATATTTTTTTGTAAAAATTCAAAAATATGTCTTATATAGAAATTGTAATGATATGTGATAAAAATTTCGGTTCCGGCCGAACTTGACATACCTTATTTGCTTAGTGTTATTATCGATTAAATAACTCATAATCTAAAATTGGTTCGCATAGCCACATTTTTTCCACTTTTGGCTTGCAGCGTGCACATACACACGTATCCATACATATGTAGGTATGCATGTGAGTACACTTGTATGTATGTATGTACATATGTCTGTGTGTATTTACGAGCTTGTAACTTTTAATTAAATGTGTACGCTTCATTTTGTCATATCACTTTTTGCTACTGGTGTTGCAATAGCAATTAAATGTCGCTGCTCATTAAAGATAAGCAACGAGCGTTGCAACATGTTGCGGCAACTCTTAGCCGTAGCTAATACG